CATTTAACAGTGATAACCCGACCTTGAAGTTTTAGCTCCTTTGCAAAACCTTCAAGCCACACTGCTTCCTTCACAGCTTCAGTTAGAGCAATATACTCCGCTTCAGTGGTTGATAAGGTAACGACCTTCTGAAGTGTTGCTTTCCAACTGATTGCTGTCCCAAACATAGTGAACACATATCCGGAGATAGATTTTCTAGAATCCATACAACCTGCATAATCAGAGTCGACATATCCTTCGATTATTGCTTTACTATCTTCACCCAAGGCTCCACCATAAATTAGGACTCTATTCAGAGACCCATTTATGTACCTTAAAATCCACTTCAATGCTTGCCAGTGAGCCTTTCCAGGATTCGCCATGTACCTGCTTACAAGACTTACTACATATGCTATGTCGGGTCTAGTACAGACCATAGCATACATCAAAGACCAATTTGTCTTCTTTTGATTCCTCATAACTTCCTTATAGTCTCTAGGTTCTTCGTCTAGAACCTCACTTGCAGAGATTAAGGCATAAGCTATAAGATCTGCATACCCAAGTCTCTGAGGTGGTTTGATGACTCTCCTCGACCTGTCTCTTGCTAGCAGGTAGTCATTATCAGTCTCCTCATCTTCGACAACATCTTCTGTGTCTTCTTCGACTTCATCTGGGGTAAGCAATTCAACATCAACATGCTCCACCTCAACAGGAATCTCTCCCTGTTCCAGCTCTTCGTCAGCATCATCAGTTTTCTTGAAAGCCATCTCTGCTTCGTTGAAAACTACATCTCGACTGGTGATACACCTCCTGTGACCTGGCTCTAGGCACCATAGCCTATAAGCTTTGACTCCTTCAGGGTATCCCATGAACAATCATTTCAGAGCTCTAGGTTCGACCTTGTCTTGCCTAATATGAGCATAGGACACACAGCCAAATACTCTCAGTCTGTCGAGACTAGGTGGATGTCCTGACCAAACTTCTTCAGGTGTCTTCATTTCCAAGGCAGTCGAGGGACATCTATTTATCAGGTAAGCTGCTGTCGAAACAGCTTCCGCCCAAAACACCTTCTTCAATCCAGCACTAACCAACATGCATCTAACCCTTTTAAGGATTGTTCGATTGAATCTCTAAGCTAAGCCATTTTGTTGAGGAGTACCTGCTACAGTCTTATGCCTTGCAATCCCAGACCCAACATAATAACTGTCGAAAGCTTCGTTGCAGAATTCAAGGCCATTGTCGGTTCTCAACCTCTTAACCTTTCTGCCAGTCTGAGTTTCGACTAGAATCTTCCAACTTTTGAAATTCTCAAAAGTTTCATCCTTCATCTTCTGAATGAATACCCATAGCTTTCTGGAATAGTCATCAACGATGGATAGAAAATACCTTGCACCTGAGTGTGAAGGATTCCTTGCAGGCCCCCAAAGATCATCATGAATGTAATCCAGGGATCCATGTGTTCTTTGCTTGCCTTTGTTAAACTTCGCCCTACAGGATTTACCAAATACACAAGATTCACAAAATTCCAACTTTTCGACTTTGTCACCTCCTAGCAGGTTCTGCTTCCCCAATTCGACCAGGCCTCTTTCGCTGACATGGCCCAATTTCATGTGCCATAATTCTGTCTTCGACATAGATTTCGTGGATGCAACATTTGTCGAACCACTTACAACCTTAACCTCAAGGGTATACAAGCCTTGTTTCTTCACGCCTCTCAAGACTTCCTTCGACCCCTTCATGACTCTTAGAATACTTTTCTCTCCTTGAAAAACATATCCTTTTCTGTTGAATTCACCAAGAGAAATCAAATTTCTCTTCAAGTCAGGTACGTACCTGACTTCAGTCAATAACCTTATTGACTCATCATGGAGCTTGAATCTCACAGATCCAATACCTGCAATTTTGCAAGATTTGTTGTTTCCTAACAGCACAGATCCACCATCTTGATCACATAGCTCCTCGAACAATTCTCTGTTTGGAGTCATGTGCCAAGTGCAACCTGAATCCATAATCCACTCTTTCCTCGAGTCGCCACTTGAAACCACAAGAACATCAGATGAGTCGAAGTCATCTTGAACAATGGCTGCATTGCCATTACCTCCATGATCTTTCAGGCGTTCAGGGCACAGCTTTCTTATGTGACCCTCCTTCTTACAGTGGTAACATCGAATACTAGATGTTTCGCCACTATAAGACTTCTGTTGACTTTTACCTTTTTTCTTGTCGAACTTACCATCCTTTCGCAAGAATTTTCCCTTAACGGCCAAACCTTCGCCCACCGTCGAAGGTTTATGCTCCTTTCGTTCGTTCAAGTCCTTAGAATACAAGGCTGATTGAACTTCTTCAAAGGTCAGGGACTCCCTTCCATACAAGAGAGTTTCTTTGAAGTGAGCATGTGTTCTGGGCAAAGCACACAGCAGCAATAGTGCTTGATCTTCATCATCGATCTTCACATTAATATTTTCAAGATCAAGAATCAGCTTGTTGAACATATCCAACTGCTCAGCCAACACTTTGTCTTCACTCATCTTGAATGAATATAAAGCTTGCTTCAGGTATAGTCGATTCACCAGAGATTTGGTCATGTACAAACTTTCAAGTTTCACCCATAATCCCGATGTTGTAGTCTCCTTTGATACCTGTCGAAGAACCTTATCACCAAGGCTCAATAATATTGCGCTGTGAGCTTTCTCGATCATGCCCGTCTTTTCTTTTGCCGTTAACGCATCGTCCATGGCTGCCTCACCCTTCAACGCTTCCAAACAACCCTGTTGAACCAATAGGGCTTTCATCTTCAAGCGCCACAGACCAAAGTCGTTCACTCCGGTGAACTTTTCAATCTCATACTTTGTTGAAGGCATCTTTTCCACGCTCACCGCACCAATTTTTTGTGAATCAGATACCTTTAAACAAAGTATAAACGGTTTCTTAATGATCAAGAAACACACAAGGGTTAGGGTTAACAAAGAAGACAAGGTAAAACAACAAGGAACAACAAGGATTGGTTATTAAACTGTTATTCTTTCCTTTCTCTTAGAACAAGATTACAAGTATAAAAGAATAACAAAATAACCTTTCTCCCTTGAAATTAAGATTTTATCTTCCAATTTTTCCTTATTCTCTAGATTGAGAAACTAGCATCCTATTTTTAATAAAATAGCACACTAACTTAATGGGCTTTTTAACAATTACCCATTACAAGCTAACTTAGGGTACAAGCTAACTTAAACAATTGGGCTTACAAGCAAGACCCAATTCAACATGCTAACAACCCTAGCAATATTTACTCATGCTAACAACCTTAGCAATATTTACTCATGCTAACAACCTTAGCAATATTTACTCATGCATGTTAGAACAAACTTCGAATACAACACGCATTACTTGCGAACAAACTTCGACCACACTAGAGTTCGATCCAATGTCTCACACATTTAGATAAGAGTGCTTCATTGAAAATCTTCAAGTCCTTCACCCTCAAACCACCTAATTTCTTTGGCAGACACACTTTTTCCCAGTCAATCCAGGATATCTTCCCATCATATGCACTTCCAGACCAAAGAAAATTGTGTTGGATTGCTATAAGTTCTTTTTTTTATCTTAGCCGACATTTTAAAGAAAGACAGGTAGTGAACGGGAGATCGGTAAGTACTGCATTGATTAATGTCAGTCTGCCTCCAAAAGAAATCAATCTGCCATGCCAAGTAGCAAGCATTGACCTAAAACAATTCACCACAGGTTTCCAAAGTTCTAACCTACGATGATTACCTCCAACTTCAATCCCCACAAATTTGAAAGGGAGGTGGCCAACGTTACAAGATAGAAAAAGAGCAGCTTCTTCATATACGCTTCCTCCATCCCAACCCCAAAAATCTTGCTTTTCCAAAAATTAATTCTCAGACTCGACAATAATTCAAATGCCCTTAGTATCGATTTGATCCCTCATAGATCTCCTACACCACCTTCACACACCAATATAGTATCATCAACATACTGTATCAAGTTTACTTGGATTCCTTCTATCAGCTTGTATCCTTTAAGTATGTCAGTCTCTTTTTCCCTTCTCATCAACATAACCAACCCCTCAGCCACAATTGAAAAGAGGAAAGGTGAAAAAGGGTCGCCTTATCTTAATCCTCTTGAAGCTTTAAAATCAGCCGTTGTTCCTATATTAATTAATACTGATATGTGACAGTTTAGGACACCTCTTTTAATTCACTGCATCCACTTAGGACAAAACTTCATGGCCTTCATAACTCCCTCTAAGAATTTCCAACTTACACAATCATAAACTTGTTCATAATCCACCTTAAACATTAAACATTAAACACTTTCCTTTATTTCTTTTCACTATATCAATAATTTCGTTGATCAATAACACACTATTAAGCATTTGTCGCCCAAATATAAAAACAACTTTGACACAAACTATCTCAAACTATATCCTAGCGAACATGTCAATTTGTTGAGTAAAAAAATTTCACTTTTGTCAAATCAATCTAAAACTCAAATTAAATACTATTGAATTCTTAATTGATAGGTTTACTAGCCTACTTCTTTTCAGTGGTTCAAATAAATTCATTGAGTGCCCAATAAAATAAAAAATGTAGCTTGAGATTATCAGATGGCTTAATATCAATTCTGCACTTTATAATTCAACCTAAGGTGTTTGGATTTAATTACACTTTTAATAGGTGGAATATTGACTTTGGGCTGTTGTTTTTTTTTAATTTTAAGTGTGACGGTATTATGTTATTTTTGAACTTGTCAAAACATGAATAACATTCATTTTAGAAGAAATGGTTTTGCTTGGTATGTATGGAATCAAAATAAATAAACAAATGAAGAAAAAAACTATTACTTATTATGTCAATAAATTATGACATGACTTATGTGATACAAATAACAAGCTAAAGACAGTCTAACATATAGATAATATGATAATGTAAAATAAGGTTTACTCCTGCACACATTCACACCTGTTGTCATCACCAATATAATATCACAACAATTGTACAACACTACCATATACTTCCTCCTATTCTATTCACCATTGTGACTTTCCTATTTTCTCCATTAAACTTAAGTCTCTTGTACATAATAAAAAATGACCAATACACAAAAGAGTACAAGAAATTGAATACTTGTACCATAACAAAATTGTAAGTTTTGGTGGCAGAAGTAGGAGATATCAGCTTCATATTATAGACATAACAATAAGCAAACCAAAAGATTGGTGTGAACAATAAGCCACCAACTAACCCACTTGGTGTCAAAAGATATATTGTCATAGTTGATAACAAAAGTGAAAGTGTATTCAATATGGACAAGGTAAAGAAATCACCTTCAGAAATAACTGATTTACCGACTTTTCCGTGGGAACTACCAGTTGCATCGTCACCTTGATAAACTCCACCAGGAGGACTTAGTGCTGATTGATATGTAGCAGTTGCAATAAGAGTAGCAACTATCAAGAAAGCATTGCGTTGTTCTTCCGATATATCCTTTCTAATCCGTAGTATATGAATTAATATCTTCTCCATTAATGTCACCTTTGATCTTAATCTTTCTGCAAGTGTGGGAGAATCCTTCACTTTCGAGCTTGGTTTCACTCCCGCACTTAGTAGTATACCCTTGATCTCACCACTGGCTTCTATATCTAATGCTGTTGAGTTCTCGAAATTCTTTGCCTTCAAGTTTATCTTCGTCTTTACTAACAATCGAAGTGCCTGAAAATAAAGTATATTATTGCTATCCACAACTACAATTACAGGTAAAAATATAAATAGAATGTTGTTACCTTTGAGTCATTGTTTAGAGCAGAAATGTGCAAAATAGTGTTTCCTATCTCATCCTTAGAATTCAATATTGATTTTTCAAGCTTCATAGAACCTCTCTGATGAGTTTTATTCAGCCAACCAACCAAGACATCAAGAGCTTCAAACTGTTTATTTTTTACAGCAATATGAAGTGCAGTTTCACCTCTCATATTCACATCTTCAATAGAATTTGGACAAACAAATAGAAATTTAGCTAAAAGGTCAACTTCTCCATTTTCACAAGCAAGATGAAGAGGAGTTATGCCTTCCCTTCCTTTGATTCTAACAAGTTCTTTGTTGATGTCTACAAAACGAAGAACCATCTTCTTTTGGTGGTTTTGCATGGCAAGATGGATTGGACTGAACCCTTGTGGATTTAGCTTCCAAGCAAATGAAGGTTTCAATCTCATGATTTCAGTGGCAAAATGGATGTGTCCCATAGATGCAGCTATATGTAGAGGTGTATCAACAAATGGTATTGAATCTATATATTCTAAAACATGTGGATCCTCTTGAATTAATGTATATAGAAGGTTTACATCCCCTTCTAAAGTTACAGCCTTCACCATTTCATCAATATCATTTCTTGTGTTCATGTTTGAAGATGTTACTTCTTAACGAAGCTTGAAGCTTCAAAATGGTGTATATATATATATATATATATATATATATATATATATATATATATATATATATATATATATATATATATATATATATATATATATATATATATATATATATATATATATATATATATATATATATATATATATATATATATATATATATATAAGCTACTTTTCCTGCTACCTCTGGACACTAAAATAAGCATTAATTTATGACACTTGTTCACACCATATTGAATTATTTTTATTCAAGATCCATTGTATTTCAAACTTTCAAATAAAGACTTTGTAGCTTACGAAATAGATTTTTTTAAAATAAGGTAATTTAATTTATTAATTAAACTTGAAGCTTGAAAATGGCAATGATACATATTCTTCTAGGCCAAGTAAAACTCAAAGCCTAACATTAGAGAGTGCAAGTGTTTGGGTTTTAGGCTCCTTTCTTATGTGGAGAAAGACCCAAACATGTTTAGTTCATTTGTCTCACTTATTTAAATGGAGAGGATCAATTTAGAGTTAAAAAATATAGAGAAAAAAAAGGATTTAAAAGAGGAAAAAAAGAGAAACTCGTTTCCGTTTTTCTGCAACTAGTCTCACTAAATCAACGATCTCTAATTCGTTAACCATTGGATCGAGCTCAAATTTGGTAGGCAGGTTCGTAACACAAATATCTAACTTTTGACCGTTCATAATTTCAATAAAAATGTCTGAGGTGAAAGTTATTTGCTTCGCACTGAAGCTACAAATTTGGAAAAAAAATTCAGCTTTTCGATTCCTATTTGTAAGTTAGTTTGCTTTGTAATTTGCGATTGTTAGCAATTGTTTATGAATCACTTTAAGACTCTCTTGTACCCTTATTTGATTATAGTGGAGTATTTCTTTGGTCTGGACGACTCGTGGTTTTTATTCTCATATTGAGGGGTTTTCCACATTAAAAATATCGGTGCTCTTTTGTGCCTTTATTTGTTCGATTAGTCATCTTATATTTGTTTTTGATCCTCGAGATTCCTACAAGTTTTGGAAAAGTTTTATATCCGCTGCATATTGGTCTATTGTTGTGTCTTAATTTCCCATATGAGTGGCATCAGAGCTCTTGGTTAAGGATAATTTTACTTGTTTGAATGATGGAGTCAAATACAAAGATGAATATGGTATTGTTGAATGATTCTAATTATCATTTATGGAAGGAAAATATAAAAGGCTTACTATTTGTGAAGAAATTGCATTTACCAGTTTTTAGTTCCACATAGTCGGATTCTGTGTCTGATGAAGATTGAGAGTTTGAACATCAACAAGTATGTGGTTTTATTCGACAATATGTAGAAGATAATGCTTATAATCATATTGCTAATGAGATACATGCAAAAACTTTGTGGGATAAAATAGAATCCTTGTATGCCTCTAAATTAGGGAATAATAAATTGTTCTTGTTGAATAACTTCATAAGTTTGAATTATAAGGAGGAGACTTCTATTTCAGATCATTTGCGTGAATTTTATGGCCTCCTTGATCGGATGTCAGGAATGAGTATCAAATTTGACGATGAACTTTTGGGACTATTTCTATTGCTATTTCTTAGAAGTTGGAAGATTTGATTCGAAAGAGGTGCCACGGAAGGCATTTCGACAGGAAGGTTTAAATTCAAATAAAGGAGGGAAAGTTCGGTCTCGTCCATTTCTCAAACAAGACACATGGAGCGTTTCTAGGATTCGAAGGCATGCAGAGAGACACTTGTCTCGATTTCGTTTGCTAGTTGTTAATGTCAGGTATTTTCGATTACTATAAATAGAAAGTCTTAATGTTAGAATTTGTGTGTACAAATTCTTCAATATACTCCAAATACCTGTGTGTTGAGAGAAACGAGTTTGTAAGAATGTACGTTAATGTAATACCATCTTTTCATTTCAATGCCATTTAATAAATCTTTTTCCTTAAGAATTTATTCTTTCTTTATGCAGGTTCTTGTCTTCATCATTTACCAGTACTTCGATTTTACTTCTTTTCACCCAAATCCATTTACACTTGAAATAAGTTATTTTATCATGAACTCTGTTGAAGTGTTCATCGTTTTTATAAACTTTATTTAAGATCAATTAGCATATGCCCTAGAATTTGTGTGGTCGATCGTGCAAGTAAAACATATCTTTTTCAATTTGTAAGACCAGCGGTTGTTCACCAATTTTAATGGCGAACAAATTGGCATGCACAGTGAGACCGTGTTAAGTGATCATAAAATTTGCTTCAAAAATTTGAAAATTTATTAGTTCCGTGGTCAACTTTTTCTTTGAAAAACTTCGTTGCATGTTATTAAGAAGTGGTAAAGTGACCACCGCTAACGAAGATAGAACAAGAAGAAGATATAGGAGGAGAGTGGAGGAAAATTCAAACCAGCAAAGTATTCCTCGAGATATGCCTAATAATAATGTAGAACAACCCATAGGATCTTCGACAGGAGGACCAACAGTCTCAGCGCTTGTCTTTAAAGAAATTCCATCTATGGGAAGTTCGATACCTACACATTTGATTGCCCATACACAACCTACTCTGACTTACATTTGGGCCTATGGGTCCTCCACAAACTCTACCACCAATAGGGGCTTCAACATTTAGAAGCATCCATCCTCTTGAATTTTCAATACCTTTGCCTCGAGCCCCACCCTATGGAATGCCAACTTCGATGATGGCAAACTTATAAAACGCCCTTCCATTATATACAGAATCCGCAATGACTTCGCCATTACAGACATCTGGCTCTGGGGCAAATACGGGTCAAAATAGTCAAAATTTAGGAATAAGGTATTCAGCCCAAATGACAAATTTGACAACCAGTTTTGCATCATACTTGAGACAACAAATAGATGAAAGTAACCTTCAAATGGTCCAAATGATGTCCCAAACTATGGGGGAAATTTTACAGCCCCTTATTCAGAGTACTACCCAAACTAATCAACAATTAGCAGCGCAAAGGGCGCGCCTTATATAATTCTTGGTTGTACCAAATCCCCCTCGACAACCATCGAGGAAGTATATGATAGAAAACCAATGGGTAGTTTTCGACGAAGACACCACCATTAACCAAATTCAACAAAATCCAAGAAATATACCCCAAGAAAATCAAAACAACCAGGGAATGATCAAAAGACCTAGAGTCGAACCCCTTAGGAATCAACCACAAGTTCCTAGAGAAAAAGAACCAAGGGTAGTTTTGGTAAATAGGAACCAGGATGCTGAAAATGTTGTACAACAAGTTCGACGTAACAACATAATAGCAGATAATAATCTGGCTTCCATGGTCGAAAGAATCATGACACGTAACGGAGTAAATTATGGCCTTCAACAGCCAAATTATACCTCACCATTATCCGATCACATCCTTTAGTCAGATTTACCCCCAAGAACAAAGGTTCCTAAGTTTACTAAGTTTTCTTGGGATACCACTGAGTCCACTTTCGAACATGTCGCTAGGTATTTGATAGAAGTAGGAGACAATTTGAATGATGAGTGAAGGTGAGAAAATACTTAGAAGGGGGGTTGAATAAGTATGACAGAAAATAATCAAAGATAAAAACTCAAGTATTTTTATCCTGGTTCGTTGAACTCAACTACTCCAGTCCACCCTTTTCAAGAGTGATTTTCCTTTCTCAACAAGGACTTAATCCACTATTCAAATCAACTGATTACAAATAGCAACACCTAAGAACAACTGTTCTTAGTCTTCTCAAGAGCTACTGATCTAACCTAGATCCTCTTAAGGAAAACAACACCTAAGAACAACTGTTCTTAGTCTTCTCAAGAGCTACTGATCTAACCTAGATCCTCTTAAGGAAAACTTCCTTTACAAATTAATGTAATACAATGTAAGAGTAATAAAATGCTTCTATGAAAGCTATAAACACAACTGTGTTATTTCTCTAAGTTTAGAACAAAGTATGAACTATAAAGAATATGAAAGCTTGAGAGTTTCTTCGCTTGAGAGTAAGTGTTTCAAACTTCGTCTTTTCTTTTCTCTTCTTTTTTCTGCTGAAGAAAGTGCTATGATATCCTTTATATAGCCACTTGAATATTGGAGAGAATATAATACCGTTGGAGAAGATATTTCCAATATCAAATAGTACTGTCCTTTGTACTATTGCAGCAGAGAGACGGCGCACAAAATGTGGGTGTAGCAATTGTCTGCTGAGCTGTGAATTTACCATATATGGAATGTATCAGAGGAATAATCTTCTTGCAGAGATTTATGTCTATCCCAATTAAGGAAAGATTTGCTGGCATATTCCAACGGATATATTAAATAATCTTCTTCAAATAATTCTTCAGATAGTTCAGATCAACAATCAATATCAGAGTCTTCAGTCTTCAGAATCTTCTGGAAACTTCAGAGTCTAAGATGTTCTTCAGATGTTGCTGAATCAGAGTCTGGTGCAGCTGTGTGCTTGAAGCGTAACATGCTCTTAGATCAGAGTCTTCACTCAGATCAGAGTCTTCTCTCATTCAGAGTCTCTTCACTCAGAGTCTTCTTTCATTCAGATTCTTGATAATATATGCAGCGTGTTGTATCTTCAGAATCTTGATGACTAAGCTCTTATACTTCAGATTCTTCTAATCTTCAGATGCTCTTGAGCCATTCAGAATTTATTGTTCACATCAAATTTGCTCTTTGAGATTAAAATCTTTTGTGCCTGTAGAAAACAGTTTAGAACAAATTTAGAGAGTATAATTCTTGTATACAAATTATCATTAATGTTATCATCAAAACATAGAGATATTACTAAGACACAATCTGTGCTCTTACAATCTCCCCCTTTTTGATGATGACAAAACATGAGAAATTTGTTCAATAAAAATATGAATTAAAATTACTCCCCCTGAGATTAACAATCTCCCCCTGAAATGAATACTCTAATGGAATTAGATACTTCCCTTTCTGGTTGAGTACATTTCAGATTCAGAGCCTGATTGAAGCCTGG